AAAGTAATGAATGATGGAGAACAACTCTTCATGAAAAATTCCTTCACTTCCAAAGTTGAAGGCAAATGAAAGGTTATATTGAAGATGACTTCTGGAAAAGAACTTACTTTCAATGATGTGTTACATGTTCCAGAAATTCGAAAGAATCTTGTGCCTGGATCGTTGTTGAGTAAGAAAAGTTTTAGGTTGGTTTTTGAGTCTGACAAATTTGTACTCACCAAGCGTGAGATTTATGTAGGAAAGAGATATATGAGCGATGAACTCTTTAAGATGAATGTAATGACAATTATATCAAATTTTAATAATAAGACCACATCTTCTGCTTATATGCTTGAGTCTTCCAATGTATGATATGGTAGATTAGGACATATTAATTTTGATACTATGCATAAATTAATGTATTTAGAATTGTTGCCTAAATTTAATATTGATGCAAATAATAAATGTGAGGCATGTGTTGAATCAAAATTAACTAGATCAAATACTTTATTACATTTATTGATGGTTGCACAAGATATTGCTATGTATATTTGCTAAGGAGTAAAGATGAAACATTAGAAAAATTTATGCACTATAAGAATGAGGTTGAGAATCAACTTGGCAAAAAAATTAAGGCAATAAGAAGTGATCGAGGTAGTGAATATGACGCACCTTTTGATCGGTTCTGTCAAGAACATGATATTATTCACCAAACTTCTGTGCTTTATACACCTCAGCAAAATGGAATTGTTGAACGTAAAAATAGAACTTTAAAAGAGATGATGAATGCCATGTTGATTAGTTCGGGATTATTTCAGAACTTGTGGGGGGAAGCTTTGCTTTCAGCAAATTATATTTTCAATAGACTACCCCACAAGAAGTTAGACAAAACTCCTTATGAATTATGGAAAGGAAAGAGTCCTTCCTACAAATATTTAATAGTGTGGGGGTGTTTGACTAAAGTGATGGTTCATATTCCCAAAAGGATTAAAATATGACCTAAGACTATTGATTGTATATTTATTGGTTATGCAATAAATAGCAGTGCATATCGTTTTCTCGTGCATAAATATGATATTCCTAATATATATGTTAATACAATCATTGAGTCAAGAAATGTATCATTTTTTGAAAATGTATTTCCTAGTAAAAATGCATGTGATGAGAGTTCTCTTAAAAGAGTTCATGATAGTGCGACTAGTAATATAGACAATGAGTCTATAAATGAAGAAAGTGAAAAGGCACATTGACGCAGTAAGAGAACAAGGACTTCCAAGTCCTATGGTCCAGATTTTCTAACATATTTGTTAGAAAATGAGCCTCAAAGCTTTCATGAAGCGATGTCCACTCCTGAAGCACCTATGTGGAAAGAAGCTGTAAACAGTGAAATTGAATCCATCATGCAAAATCACACCTGGAGTTGGTAGATTTTCCACTAGGAAGTAAACCATTGGGGTGTAAATGAATTTTCAAGAGAAAAATGAAAAGTGATGGATCAATTGATAAGTACAAGGCTAGACTTGTATCTAAAGGTTATAAACAAAAGGAAGGTCTTGATTACTTTAATACATATTCTCCCGTTACGAGAATAACATCTATTTGTATGCTCATAGCTATTGCAGCATTGCATAATCTTGAGATATACTAAATGGATGTGAAAACAACTTTCTTAAATGGTGACTTAAATGAGAAAATTTATATGGACCAACCCGAAGGGTTTGTTTCTCCAGGACAATAGAAGAAAGTGTGTAGACTTCTTAAATCACTTTATGGTTTAAAGCAAACACCAAAATAATGACATGAGAAATTTGACAAGGTAATGTTGTCAAATAGTTTCACAATTAATGAATGTAATAAATATGTCTATGCTAAAGATACAAATAATGGATATGTCATTGTTTACCTATATGTGAATGATTTGCTTATTATAAGTAGTAATAATAATATTATTACAACTACAAAAAAAATGTTGTCTGGTAAGTTTGACATGAAGGATTTGGGTGTTGCAGAAGTTATACTAGAAATTAAAATTTCTAGAACATCTGGTGGACTTGTATTATCTCAAACACATTACATTGAGAAAATACTTGAAAAGTTCGACCAAGATGAAAGCAACATTGCTAGAACACCAGTTGATATAAATCTTTATTTGTCTAAAAATACTGGCCAAACAATATTACAATTAGAATAGTCTCGTATTATTGGAAGTCTAATGTATGTCATGAACTTCACTAGACTAGATATAACATACTCAATTAGTAAATTGAGTAGATATACAAGTAATCCAGGAGTAGACCATTGGAAGACAATTATCAGGGTTCTTAGATACTTAAGATATACGCTGAAATTTGGATTGCACTATACAAGATATCCAGATGTATTTGAAGGGTATAGTGATGCAAACTGGATATCTGATATGAAGGATACAAAATCTACAAGTGATTATGTTTTTATACTTGGTGGTACAGTTGTATCTTGAAAATCCTCTGAGCAAACGTGTTTTGCTAGATCCACAATAGAATTTGAATTTATTGCTTTAGATAAAGCAGGAGAGAAAGCTGAGTGGCTTCGCCAATTTCTAAAGGATATTCCAATATGGCCTAATCCTGTGCCAGTAATTTGAAATTGGTAGGGCACAGAGTGACATGTATAATGGTAAGTCTAGACATATACATCGTAGACATAATACCGTTAGACAATTACTCTCAAATGTGATTATTTTTATTGATTATATAAAGTCAAAGGATAATCTAGCGGATCTGCTTATTAAAGGTTTGACGAGAGAGCAAGTAAATTGCACATCGAGAGGAATGAGATTAAAGTCTATGACACAAGAGTCACCTTAATGGCAACCCAACCTAGTTGACTGGAGATCCCAAGATCTAGGTTCAAAGGGACAACCGAATTATGCGTGATTCAAAAGAAGCACTAAGGAGATAATCTCTCCTACTTATTCTTATGATAACCTAGTGTTGCATGTAGAGTTTATTAGGGTAAGCTATGCTTTTAATGACTTTTATACCTTGGTAAATCCAAGTGAGATATTTTAGGATATTCCTAATAGGAGTCACCTATATGAGTGTGAAGGGGCCGCTTCTATCAGAATTTGTAAATGCTGAATTCTCTAAAACACTCATGAAAATCAGGAGTTGTTCAGGGCCAAAATGAACACAATCATGAGAACCAATTGTGTTAGGAAAGAGATCATGTGAAGTCTATTTGATCTAATTTATCAAACAGTTAAATAGTTCAAGACATCACGTTCACTATTTAGCCAGTAAGTCCGATGGACTTTCATTAGGGAAGGTTTAAGGCCAAAAGCTACCTATCTCGATACACGATCTTTTCAAAAATGTATCCTTTATGGTGTGTCAGGATTATTATTTGCATACTAACAGCCAATTTTCCATTCATGTAGGGGATTGTTGGACCAAAGCAGTTTTTAAGTGTAAAAACTGAGTTTTTAGTCGACTTTCAGCCTAAATTAAAGTGGGACACGATTGTTATTTTGAATAAAATTTCGTGGGTTCATATTCTACTCCGTGAGAAAAGTAATGTAGTATATTCACTTGCTCAAATCGAGTAAGAAATGAATGAGAAAATAGGCTCCAAAGTGACCCTCTTGAAATGTGAAAAAAAAGAAGTATAATGTGGGATGTGACACCAATCCCACATTAGTTGAGGAAGAAATTCAACATGGGCATATATAGGCCAAGTTTGCTCTATGGGATTGGGCCCCAGGGCTACCACAGTTTTATAATCGGAGCGAACACCTACATGCCTTTGGTTCAACCACACACACGAGCCGCCCGCTCGCCTCGCCTCGCTAATACCCGGCCGGGCCGGGCTGGGCTCGGGTATGGGTATGGGTACGGGTACGAGTGTGGTTGTGATTTAGACCAAATCCTATCTGTTTGGAGAAAATTTATTTAATAAATTGGGCGAGAATTTCTTAACCCAAAATTTAATTTTGGTACCCGTTAGATCGCATTGGGTCGGATTTGTTGCCTCCCTCCAGACCGAATTAACTTGTGACTATTCATGAAGAACACTTACTTAAGGTGTCTATTGGTTGTTGTGTCTAGTCATTCTGGGTTGTGTCCTTTAGTAAGGTGACTGTTCGAAAAGTCACCAATGTGTCTATAAATACCCAGTTCATGCATTCGCTCATAATTATTATTCAATTCATTCAGTTCGTTTTCGACATTAAGCAGACATTAGAACATATCATTTTCGACATTAAGATAGGGCATTTAGAGAGTACACAACACGATTTTGGTTCACTGGACGAGCAGATTAGAGTGCTACTTTTTTCGTGTAAGATCATTGTATCCTGGGAGGTAGACGCTCGATTTCTATAAGTATCGTGTGTGGAGGAGAAATCTGTCTTAAGGACATAGTGAAAAACACTAGCCTTGATCTATCTAAAGTTCAATAACAGTTACTGTTCTGTAATCGGGTTAGTATTTATTTATTTTTGTTTGACAAACAGTTATGTGTAACTATTTGCTGTTATTTTTTCATTACCTTGCTATAACTCTTTCGTTTCTGTATAACTCTTTATTGTAACTGTTTTACTTTACATGGTTCCAATCAAAAATTTTAATAAGTGATTTTACAATATTTGACACACTACAAACAACACCAACAACCCATGTTTGGCTGTCATTTCAGATGGTATATAAGAAAACTGAAAGTTGCGGCTAGCGTGGTATGGCAGTGACTTGAGCAGCAAAAGAAGGCCACTTGCTTTCCAATATGGGACGCTGCATGATCTGCCGCAGTGGACCTAATACCACAAGCTTGAAGTGTTGTGTACAAAAGAGTTGACACAGTGTCCCCAGCATATTTCTCCAACTCTTCTACAGTTTTAAGAATATCAATAACCTCTCTTCTTGCACCATTGATCCAAGCCTCAACAGATCGTTTCAGCCAACTCTTGCTAATTTTATGCTCAGATATCATAGATGCAAGGGCCTGAGCTGTTGGTTGCTCAATTAACTTGTTGGCAAAGATATTGTCTATGGCTTCTTGCCACTAGAGCAGCGCATAAGGCCAATTTTGGGGTGAGAAGCAACATCCATGGCTCTAGCAGTCTCAACATTAAAAGCACGAAGAGCAAATGTAGCCTTCCGCATGTTTGCAGGAAGTTCAAGAAGGCAGAGGTAGTGATGGTAGTCATAATTCCATACTTGTTGTACACAGTAGGAAAAAGCTACCCGTATGCCACTAGATGCAAAAGCACCACTCATCAAATCCCTGCGACAGTTCCTCTTGTTAGCATATAATGAAGTGATAAAGATGTGAATCTATTTATTATTACATAGAGGATATTATCTTCCATAAGATAATGGAACATGCACACATGCATAAACAAGAAAGAAACGAAGAGCTCTTATACCAGAGGTATAATTTTCGTCAACCTCATGTATATACATCAAGAAAATATATTCCTTTGAGTTATAAATTATACAAGAAACCCTGTATGTGAGGCCAGTTGAGGTAGACATCAAGAACCTAATACCATGACTCGCCAAATAATAATCCAGTGACCCGCAATTTCTGACAGAATTTGAGAAACAAAAACTTGTTGCCAGCTCTGAATTTAATAGTTGAAAACTTTAAGTTGAACTTGATAATTCGTCCATCCAACACAAAGTATTTAGTTGCTTCTCTAATAATACCAATATTGGTTATCAGTAGAAACACATTTCTGGGCAGAATGCTGCTGACCCAAATTCTTAAGTAAACATTTTTCACCACTGCTTATACTTCTGAACCTGATAAGTAATCTTTACAGTAAGTCAAAAAGCAACTTCATGGTTTGCTTCTGGATAGAATGCCAGCCAAATTAATTAATCAGAAGTGTATACCATTTCCACCGAAGCTTACACGTCTGAGGCCCTGTAGTGATTTCTGCCAAAATGAAGCCTTTAATTTCATGATATCCCAAGTGCAGAACGGTAACGACTAACTAAACAAGAAAGATGCATGATAAGTAGTTAAAAGCCAAATCTTTCGCTCCATTTAAGATCATGCCTTTTAATGACGGAGCATAAGACCAGCTACGACTTAGATCCTAGACTCGTAGTCCAAATTAAAACTTGCTAGTCAACCAAAACACAGCTTACTTGAAAAATTTAGGCTCAATTTGTTATTTTAGACCTGGATTAACATAGCTAATGATGTTAATTAATCAACTCCACAATAACGTTGGCTTATGTTATGTTCCTCTAAAATGGAACGAGTAACTGGGCGATGGCTTGAGTGTGGAAGAACATCTTTCCTCCTAGATCTACCTATTGTAATGTTAGCAATAAGAGAATAACAAGAATTGGCTACTTTGAGAGAGCCTTGATCTCCAAGAGTAACATAGGATTTGCAAATTATTCAATGATCCCTTTATTCCACTGCAACCTTCTTTAAATAGGAGTCTCGTAACAACCTATGACTTATAATAATAGCCATAAAAAAAGGAGAAAACTGAGGGATATCCCTGTTGACTCGGTAACCAACTCTAATAGCTTAAACAAATTAACAAACTCATACAAATATAAAAGACCACTCCCTGTACGTGGAGTTACAAAATAACAACCTGGAAACAACTTCATCTGTGAATTATGCAATGCTATTCACAACTGAGTCAAGGTTGTAATAGCTCCTCCCCGCCAATAGCTCCCTTGTCCCCAAGGGAGAAAGAAGGAAACCGGAGAGAGAAATCCTGCATGTCTTCCCAAGTGGCGTCGGCAGAGGAGAATCCATGCCAGTCGATTAAGAGCAATTCCCGTCCTCGAAGCCTCTTGTGATCAAGTACGGCGTGTGGAGCTACTGCAACAACATTTTGTTCCAGCTCTTGGGGAAGATTTGGGTGAGCTAATATTCCTGGGCCAAGTCGTCGCTTAAGAAGTGAGACATGAAAAACTGGATGGATGTGTGACCCTTTAGGTAGGTCCAACTTGTAGGATACTTCACCAATTTTCTTATCGACGTGAACAGGATCGTAGAACCTTGGAGATAACTTAGCATGCTTTCGAAACTGAACACTATGTTGCCTATACGCCTGAAGCTTAAGATAAACCCAGTCGCCGACTTCAAACCGCTCCCCACGATGACCTTGATCATAAACACGTTTCATGCGTTCCTGAGCTTGTGAAAAGCGTTGTCAAACTTGTTTCAAAAAATCATCGCAGCTTTTCAATGCAATGTCAACTGCATCTACTTTAGTGGTGCCGGCAATGTAGGATAGTAAGTTTGGAGGTGACCAACCATATAGGACTTCAAACGGACTTGTTTTAATTGAGCTATGATAAGCAGTATTATAACTGAATTCTACCCATGGAATCCAAGTAGCCCAATCCTTGGGATGATCTCCAGTTAAACATCTTAAATACGTCTTGATGGTACGATTCACCACCTCCGTTTGTCCATCTTTTTTAGGGTGGTAAGCTAAACTAAAATTAAATGACGTGCCATGAAGACGGAATATGGTGGTCCAAAAAGTATTGGTGAGGGTTGGGTCGAGATCGCATGCGATTGATTAGGGCATTCCATGCAAACGGAAGATTTGTTCAAAAAAAACTTGGGCAATCGAGATAGTAGTATAGGGGTGAGCTATTGGAATGAAATGAGCGTACTTGGATAGTCGGTCCACCACCACCAGAATTGTTGATTTCCCTTTTGAAGGTGGAAGTCCCTCGATGAAATCCATCGAGATGTGAGCCCAAACTTGTTTTGGGATCGGTAAGGCTGTAGCAGACCTGCGGGGGTTAAGTTCTAATTTTTGTTGCGTTGGTAGGTATCACAGGTGTGAACAAAATCGATCACTTGGCGTTTTATCCCCTTCTAGTAAAAAATGGGTCGAATACGCTGGAGCGTTTTTTGGTAACCCTCATGGGCTGAAGAGTGGAACTGGCTCATTATCTTCGGGATGAGTGTTGAGTCTTGCATTAAATACAATATATTTTTGAAGAAGAGTACTCCATCCTTATATTGCCATGGACCAATCACGTCATTTTGCTGGAAAAGTTGTGCTAGTCGCTGAAGCTCCAGCTGGTTTGCTACTTCATCTCGAATAGGTTCTAACCAACATGCAATGGGTTGGGTGAGTGCATTTACTTCTGCTGGGATGTCTCGGCGAGAAAGTGCATTTGCAACTACATTTTCAGCACCCCTCTTATATTCGATCACAAAATCGTAACCAAGCAGTTTGGAGATCTAGTATTGTTGGGCAACAATTGTGATATGTTGTTCCCACAAATATTTTAGACTGTGTTGATCAGTTCTGATGATGAATGTCCGGCCAAGGAGGTAAGGGTGCCACTTCTTGATTGCTAACACAATAGCTAGCATCTTTTTTTCGTAAATAGCTAGTGAGAGATTACGACCATGGAGAGCTTGACTAAAGAAAGCAATCGGCCTTCGATCTTGAGGACTGCTCCAACCCCCATCCCACTAGCGTCACACTCAATAATAAAGGGTTGGGAAAAATCTGGTAACGCTAGAACTGGTGTTGTGGTCATTGCAGTTTTTAATAGGGCAAATGCTTCTTCTCCAGCGACCGTCCAGAAGAAGGAATCCTTCTTAAGCATGGACGTCAATGGATTCACAATTTTTCCATAGTCTCTAAAAAACTTCCAATAATATTCTGTGAGTCCCAAGAAGCCTCGCAAAGCTTTCAAAGATTTTGGTTTAGGCCATTCAAGCATAGCTTGGATCTTGTCTTGATCCACAACTACTTCTTCCTTGCTAAAAACATGCCCAAGGTAATTGACTCTCTCTGTGCCAAATTGACATTTTTGGCGCTTGACATATAATTGATGAGTTTGCAAGGTGGCCAAAACGATGTCCAAATGCCAAATTTGTTCCTCCCATGATCGACTGTAAATTAATATATTATCAAAGAAAACAAGAACAAATTGGCGAAGATGGGATTTGAATACCTCATTCATAAGAGACTAAAAGGTTGATGGCGCATTGGTGATCCCAAAAGGCATCACGAGGAATTCATAGTGACCCTCGTGGGTGCCAAAAACAGTCTTCGAAATGTCATCGACATGAACCCGAATTTGGTGATATCCTGATCGAAGATCCAACTTGGTGTAAAACTGTGCGCCGTGGAGTTCATCCAGTAACTCACCGATTACTGGTATTGGAAACTTGTGTTTGACGGTCAGCCGGTTGAGTGCTCGATAATCTATACACAGTCGCCAAGATCCGTCACCCTTTTTCACCAACAGGACGGGGGAAGAATAGGGGTTGTTGCTAGGATGAATTATTCCACTTATTAGCATTTCTTGCACTTGTCGTTCAATCTTCGTCTTTTGAAAATAAGGATATCGATAAGGCCGCACATAGACAGGAGAACTTCCTGGCAACATGGGTATCTTATGATCCTGGATTCTACATGGGGGAAGTCCATGAGGTTCCATGAAAAGATCTTGGTAAGTCTCCAGGAGGGTTTGCAGGCGTGGTTGTGTGACGGCAAGTTCAGTGTTTCCCTCAATAGCGTGGAGCTGGAGTATCAGTCCTTCCTTTCTTTTGCTAGCTTCCTTCTGTATTCCAACCTCACTTATAAATTTGTTAGAGGAATGATATAACCTATTGAGACATACCTGTCTGCCGCTTATTGTGAATTGCATTCTTAGTTTGGAGAAGTCCCAAAGGATAGGTCTCAAGGTTTGAAGCCATTGTGCCCCAAGTACTACCTCATACCTTTCCAATGGTAGTATATAGAAGTCTACTATAACAGGGACTCCTTGTAAGTGGAGTTTCACGCCTAAGCACCGCCCCTTGCTGGATAGACGTTCACCACTTGCAACCTTCACCTCGAGTTTGCCATGAGTGTCGGGAATTAACCCCATTTTGTTGGTGATTTTTTCCTTGAGAAAATTGTGTGTAATGTCTGAATCCAATAGGACCGTCACAATGACACCGCCCAGTGCTCCTTTGATCCTCATTGTTTGAGGTGTTTGAGTTCCCGAAATTGCATGTAATGACATGGCCAGGGCCTCCTCTGCTATTTCTTCTTGGAACTCTATTTCTCGGTCAACTGGGGTTGTTTGGAACTCCTCTTCTTCTTCCAGATAGCAAGCTTCCAAGGTGAATAGTTTCTTGCATAAGTGGCGGGGTCCAAACTTGTCATTATAGTGGAAGCATAAGCCCCATTTACGCCGCTCCTCAATCTCTGCTGGGGAGAACCTTCGGACTATGGGGTTGATGACTCGACTCCTTTCCGTTGGAGTAATATTGGCCCGTCACGTATCTGTTGTAGGGCTAAAACGTTTACTTGGAGAGGACAAATTGGCTTCAAATAAACGGGTTAGACCAACGGCAGATGATAGGGTGGTGGGACGCGCAGCCTGCACTTCAACCCGAATGGCTTCTTTGAGTCCACTGATGAAACACCCCCACTTGTTGGTTGGGTGTTAGTTTCCCTGCTCTGGACAACAATCTTTACAATCTATCGAACTTTGTTTGGTAATCACGGATAGTGGAATGCTGACGGAGTTTTGTTAAGTCCCCGAAGAAATCCTTAACTCTGTAGGTCCAAAACGGGCATGAAGACCCTCCTTGAGGAGAGTCCAAGTGACTGGCTAGCCTTCTTCCTTCAAGAGCTGGTACCACAGTTGAGCTTCTCCCTCAAAATGGTAGGCTGCCAGGGAAACCCACTCCGCAGGTTCAATCTGCTGGAATTCAAAAAACTACTCTGCCCTACAGACCCAGCTGGTTGGGTTATCTCCTCCCTTATATTTGGAAAATTCTAGCTTGGTGAGCTTGGGGACAATTGATCGGCTGGTTGATGATGTTTGTTGTTCCTCGGGCTGTCGTACAGAGTTCTCACTTTGCTCGACATTTTTTTGGACCATTAGTTGGTCAAAATGATTGTTCATGGCTGCAAACAACTCATGAATCTCATGTCGAAACTCATGCCGACTTCTTTCTTGAGCTGATGATAAATTGCCTATTTCAGCTTCCAGATGATGGATGCGTTCTTCCTACATGACCGGCTTTGATACCAAAATGTTATGTTCCTCTTAAATGGAACGAGTAATTAGGCGATGACTTGAGTGTGAAAGAACAACTTTCCTCCTAGATCTATCTATTGTAATGTTAGCAATAAGATAATAACAATAAGTGGCTACTTTGAGAGAGCCTTGATCTCCAAGAGTAACACAGGATTTGCAAATTATTCAATGATCCCTTTATTCCACTGCAACCTTCTTTAAATAGGAGTCTCATAACAACCTATGACTTATAATAACCATAAAAAAAAGAGAAAACTGAGGGATATCCCTTTTGACTTGGTAACCAACTCTAATAGCTTAAACAAATTAACAAACTCCTACAAAAATAAAAGACCACTCCCTGTACGTGGAGTTACAAAATAACAACCTGGAAACAATTTCATCGGTGAATCATGCAATGTTATCCACAATTGAGTCAAGACTGTAACAGCTTAAGCAAAAATTCTAATTCAACAACCAAAAACAATAATTCTATATACTCAATGGGTGAACGACATTGACATAGCGGGTCGAGTGGTTAATTCTCATACATTGGGTGGGATGAGTGGAGTCCTTAGTTCTCATCCCAACATAAGATATCAAAATCTTAAAAACCAACATGTCATAATAAACCAAATTGTTCACAGGAAATCCAACAAACATGTAGAATACATTCCAACAGGCACATATTGGTGATTGCTCTTAGTAAAAAAAAATGAAACTAATATAAAAAGAAATGAAAAACTACTTGAATCTTACATAGTGGAATTGAAATTGGTCAAAGAATTTACCAACAATCAAGAGAGAGGCTTTCAGATAAATGGGAGCTATGAAATATTACTTGGAGAGGGGCACTTTCAAAACTCAAAAGGGTTTGAGATTTGTGCCCTTAAATACATCGATGCGCAAGGCTTATAATGCGAAAAAATAAGACATTGAGTTTGATAGCGTGAATGAACAGGTTTACACAGAGAGAGAGAGCGTTAAGTAGAAGAGAGTAGATTAGGAGGTCTTAAATTCGATTCTACGGCCAGTTGCCCTGCTGCAATTCAAAAAAACTTTTGGGGTCTTTTGGAAATTTTAAGAAATTTGACCCGATCCAAAAAAATTTAATTTTTTTGGGACGGTTAACTCAGAAGTCGAAAAACAAGGCGGGACCTTAAAAAATTCGAAATCAAATGTAACAATATTCATTTCCCGCCCCAAACCCACTCATCTTCTTCTCTCCTAAATCCCTTCTCCAGTTCTCCTGTCCTCCTACCATCAACAAATCCGTACCCTTGAACTCTCTCACGCACCCATAGATGTCAACTTCATCTGTCCGCCTGATGAAAGAACGAGGTGGTGGCGGAGGCAAAGTCACCGCAGCGGCACCGCCGATGCCGACGTCAGCAAAGCCTTCAAAAACCTCAACCCCAGTCTCGCAGAAATCGACCTGTATCGGCGGGAAGGAAAACCCCAGACCCACATCCAGGGTTCGGGCGGCGACGTCGACGGTGGTGACATCATATCAGAAGCCAATTATTCCACCGATGCCACGGATCGACAAGGACAGGAATGCTGGATGTGAAAATGTAGAGTCACGTGTCAGAAAGTCGACGTCGTCAGTGCTGAGAGGTAGGAGCTCTAGCCCTTCTGAATTCACAAGGGTTTTATCTGATTTGAGAAAGAAAAATACTAGTAGTTTGTCTAGGGTTTCGTCTGTGGATCGTCGTGGTGAAAAGGGTGCGTTTTTTAGTGGTGTTTCTGTAAAAGATGTGTACAAAAAAGGAAATTTGAAGCATTTGACTGTAAATGGAACTGAAAAATGTGAGAATGGGATTAGGGTTTTGAACGGTTCGGAGAAAAGCAGTGAAATTCATAACGAAGTGGAGTCAAACCGTAGAGAAAATGGGAGTTCAAGGGTTGATGCTTTGGGGGAAATTGTGGAAAAGAAGGGGGATTTTGGGTGTTTGAATGCGAAAGTGAATGCAAAATGTGAAAAGAGGGTTAGAGTAATTGAGGCATTGAAAGATTCAAGGAAATGTGTAGAGGGTTTGGAGGAAAGCAGCGAAATTCTTAAGGACGTCATAGTGAAGCCTCAAGAAAATGGACAATTTGGGGTTAAGATGTTAGAGGATTGTACAAAAGAAGTAAATTTAAGCACACAACTGAATAAGTCATGCTTAGACAGTGTTCATGATAAGTCTAATTTGGAAAATGATGTGAAGATTTTGGATAATGTTCGGGTTTTCAAAGAATTGAAGGGAAAATTTTCCATGGAAAAGCGTGAGAATGGTGGTGATTTGGGTTTGAAAGATTCTGGTGGGAAATTGTTGAATGGATTGAGGGATTCAGAGGTTTTGAAAGAGAAGGGCATTAACAAGTACCCAAGTAAGCTTCATGAAAAACTTGCATTTTTGGAAGGAAAAGTTAAGAGGATTGCAACAGATATCAAAAGGACTAAGGAGATGTTAGATATGAATAATCCGGATGCATCAAAAGTGATACTAACAGACATTCAAGAGAAGATTTCGGGGATTGAAAAGGTGATGGGGCATGTTGTGAATGGTGCTGATGGGAACATGGGTTTTGCCAAAGCTTATGGAAATGATGATCGAGAGGTTAAAACATCACAGAAGAGCCAAGATAAACAAGTAAATCAAGGGAAAACTTCGGTTAAGGGATTGAACACCGATGAATTAGAAGCAAGATTCTTTCCTCATCACAAGTTACTTCGAGACCGGACATCATTGAAACCGTCATTAGGAAGCTCTCAAGCTGAAGACAAATTTGTTGAATTCAGTAGTGAATTGGAAGTAGAGGAAAAGTCATTGAGTCCCATCGATGAGAACTCTATTGCGTTAGAGTTCTTGGCTTCTCTGAATAAGGAGAAATCCAAGGTTACCTCGAGGGTTGGGGATGTTGGTGCAGAGTTTTGTAAAGTTTCGGAAATGAATGATGCTGTGATTTTAGCAGCAGAAGATTCTTCTTCAAATGTGTTCAATGGAATAGGTCCTGTTGAGCTTGTGCTCACGACCAACGAAAGGCTTGACGAATTTGATGAGCAAGAGAATAGACCAACAATGACAATCGAAGTGGAGACTGAAGACAATTCCATCTTTCAATTGAATGACATTGGCCGTAAGGCCTCAACTGGAGGATGGTTTGTGTCGGAGGGAGAGTCAGTTCTTCTTGCTCATGATGATGGCTCATGTTCCTTCTATGATATTGCCAACTGTGAGGTATGTAGCCTAGCACCACTTTGATTTTATATTTTCAATATACATAACACTGTGATCTCCTTTATTTTTCCCAAACATGGTTTTAGGGATATAGAAACAGAATTTTATGAGTCATATATATCTTTATGACAACATATTAGTAGTCTGTTTATCAGGTTATTAATCCACTGATGATATTATAATTTCAGGAAAAGGCTGAATACAAGCCTCCAGTTGGAATCTTGCCTAATGCATGGAGAGATTGTTGGATAATCCGCGCACCTAGTGCAGATGGTTGCTCTGGTAGATATGTTGTAGCTGCTTCGGCTGGGAATGCAATGGAGCCAGGTTTTTGCTCATGGGATTTCTATACTAAGAATGTGTGTGCCTTTCATACTGAGAACGGGAGTTCTAATACAAGAACGGCCCTTGGTCCTCTATCAAATAATACTGTACACAGACGAAACACTTTGTCCATTGTCATGGCCCCAGAAAATCGCCAATGGTGGTATAAACCTTGTGGGCCTCTTATTATCTCAACAGCCAGTTGCCAGAGGGCTGTGAGGATCTACGATGTCCGTGATGGAGAGCAGATCATGAAATGGGATGTCCAGAAGCCGGTGTTAGCAATGGATTACTCGAGCCCTTTGCAATGGAGAAATAGGGGAAAGGTGGTTGTCGCAGAGGGAGAAACTATTTCTTTATGGGATGTGAGCTCTCTCACTCCTCAGGCGTTGCTGTCTGTTTCTTCATCTGGTCGAAAAATTTCGGCACTTCATGTTAACAACACTGATGCTGAACTAGGCGGAGGAGTTAGGCAGAGGTAAAAAATTTTTTATTCGATCCTTCCATTGGTTGTCCTACATTCTCACATTCTTGCATGTTTTTGTGTTCTCCTGTTTATTTTTCATTTGAGATTATCATGGATTTGTGCTGGATGATCTTTAAGTACAAATGGGACTTCATAATGTTTGAAGTACTTAGTTTCATCATTTTCCTCTTCTGATCATTGCTTGTCTTGCATACATTAAATATGTTCCTTATGTCTTTTGTATCATGTATAGAAATACTGGCAATTCTAGAAGATTGACTAGGGCTCTATTATGAGACAACTTTTGTAAGTGCTAAATAATATTTGGAAATGCAGAGTAAGTTCATCTGAAGCAGAAGGACATGATGGCGTGTTCTGCACCCTTGATTCAACTAATGTATTAGATTTCCGCCACCCATCTGGTGTAGGTGTTAAGATACCTAAACATGGTGTAGATGTGCAGTCAGTTTTCTCTCGTGGAGATTCCATCTTTCTTGGGTGCACCAAATTAAGGTCAGCAGGGAAAATGCAGTCCTGCTCCCAGGTGCTACAATTCTCGTTGCGCAAACAGAGGCTTCTCAACACTTATGCATTGCCAGAATCAAATGCTCACTTCCACCACACAGCCATCACACAAGTTTGGGGAAATTCAAACCTTGTTATGGGAGTTTGTGGGCAGGGTCTATTTGTTTTCGATGCCTTGAAGGATGATGGACTGCAACCATTCACCATTGATTATGGGAACATGCAAAATGTTAGAGAGACTATTGGACCAGATGACTTGTACTCTCCTTCCTTTGATTACATGGCATCTCGAGTTCTCCTCATATCAAGAGACCGTCCAGCACTGTCGAGGTTCTTGTCATAGCCTCATAGGTATTATATATGCTTAAGGACTTATTTATCATGTTGTCCTGAGAACTGTTAGCATGGTAAGCTTTGTTTTTTTGCCCTGTAACATATTGCTTGTTGTGTGTGACAATAAAATAATTCCCTGTTTATTATAATATATCTTTTAAGATTTGCATCCTGTTGATTGTTCTTGAAGAATAAATGATGTAATGTACGGATGATTAAACTTGGCAGAAAATGTTACATTGTATATTGAACTTGGTTTTACATTTGAACACACTCTGCTTTTGACATGAGCCCCTCTGATCACCATTAGGATCGTCTCCTGCAGTGAAATAATACATGGTTGAATTCATTTTATTTTTGGGTGATCTATATTTTTTTTCCATTGTGGCTTTATTGAAGTTTGCCTTCTTTTTTTGGTGATTGCGGCTTTACTCAAAACCCAATGATGGAAATCTAATATTCAAAATTCTTTAATAGTGATTCTCTGTTTAAAAAACATCAAATCTTCCTCTTCGACTCTCATACACTCTTTCTCTGTGAAGGGTCTCTTAGAATGTCTACCTTGGCATTTGGTTTCTTGAATTACCCAAGAAGCCAACTCCAATCTCGTTGCTATATTTGTTTTGTATTGTATTACCTGTTTTGATTTTATAGTACTTCCTCCCATAAAAAATAATAGGACAAACTTAAATTTTTTGGCTTTGTAATGGGAATGATAGGGAACCTGAATTTAAATTAGAAATTTTCAAATGACATGAGAAATAAAATAGCTTTCTGCATCATATTGGGAATCCTCATGGCTCACTTTTTCGGTTATTTTGTTGATAAATGATGATCAATATCCCTCGTTGTCACAATAAAATGTGGGTCCATTCCTTGTATGGTGGAATGTATTCCATCTGCTTCATGTCAGCTTGTTGGGAACATATGTACATATGCCTTCCCAATGATTTTGTCAGTCGGAATCTGTCTCACGGAAGGGTAAAGGAACTGCCTTCACTGCCCTAAACTTGCCAACATTGTTCAAATGTTCATTCTCCAACCTGGTTAAATGCAGAATGTCAAAGTTAGAAGCTTCATGCATCCATACTCTGACCTGTTTCCACATTCACATCACTTCTAAATTAAGAGCTTGGGCCATTTACATCTTCATTTCATATACAGAGGAGCCCGAAAATTTGCCTAGGGTGAAGATTTATATGGCCAGCCCTGTATTTTCTTTTGAAGTCAAGGAAGAGCGAGTCTATATGGTAGGAGGGTTTTCATAGCTAATAGTACTCTAATGGTCTAATTAGTGAAGATTTTCAAACCTCGAGAGAATGATTTCCCCTGCCTGCTCCTAGATTCATCATTAATTTCATAGATTACGATGTAAACTAAGTACCTATAATAATAAAGATTTAAGTGACATAGTACTCTTCTAGACCAAGCTTTATGTGTTTTCTGTTGTTACATTTATATCTATGAAATCATTAGGAAGTCATTTTGAAAGTTAATTCATGTCCATTTAATCTTTTCGAAACTGATTTTCTTAAAACTTAAGGTTCTAACCATTTGTGTTGCATATTAGCTTGATTAAGTTTTATAGAAGGTCAGATGCTTCTCCTTCTCTCAGTTTATGTAATGTACCTGTAGAAATTCCAATGCCCACGTCTGATAACTTCCAGTGATGCCAGGAAAAAATCTAACAACCGCGACTCAAACACTCCAATGTTGAATCGCATCACAGTCTCCACCCAAGCAATTCTTAGAACAAAATTTAAGGCCTGCAATTGAAATTTCGTTCATCTTTTCAGAGTTCTATGAAATAGAACAGAAAGCTACTAAAATGTCTAACAGATACATTCACAACAATGAAAACCAAAAGAGAGGAGACATAAACTCACAACAGACAAGTAGTAGAAGCTTTTGTTCTTCAAAACCAGATCGTCTCTTAGGCCTGGGTTTTTGGATCTTGTGTTGAAAAGTCCCCAGTCCTTAACAAAATCCCAGTACAATTGATAGACAGTGGCTGCCGTCGAGGTCACCAGGACTACTATCAGCCATAACTCTGTTGGCTGCCGGGCATATGTTATCCTGGCACCAGCTGCCACCATGGCCGAAACATACTTCCCCAGGTTAGCCAAATGATTAATGTCAGACTCATCGAACCATCTTCTTGCACACTGGTAGTTACATCAATAGAGAATGTGCAAATGGGTAAGTAGAGATAGAGAAATCAAGAAACAGAATTCAATTAGTATTGATCATCAAATGAGCTGATTAAACTTCTTTCAAGAAATTTTATCGAAGAGATGAGATTTAGGTGGACATTGAGTGGTCAATTGACTGAGTCTATCATCCTTTTTCTACTTGTTTGTCTCTCTCTTTAGCTTCAATTTGTTAACACGTGAGTGAACTTGGACTCACACAAGAAAAGATCTGAAGAAAGTCTATCATCCTTCTCTTGAACTATTACATGGGCCCTGTGAACTTCTTTACTTATTGTTAATTGATTTTGAATTAGATATTCAAGCAAAATTGACATGTAGATGAGCATATGTATATGCAAATGAGGTGCAACAAACAAAAACCGAGTTGAGCCCGAGTCAAGCTCAAATTGCTTAAATCGTTTTAACTTGGAAGTCGATGAAAATTTACCTGCATGGCACGCCAATAATATGGTGCAAAAGAGATGACATAAGCGAGCTCTCTGTAAAGCTTTCCAGACTTGCAGGTCTCATATGTGTGTGTTTTGAAGCTTCCAGCAAGGAAGTAGCAAGCTGTGGATTCCAAGTGCCTCAGCAATGGAATCTGTACACAGAAATTAAGTGTATTAATGATCAGAATATACATATTTTTTAAAACCAATTTGTTACCAAGAACATAGAACAAAGCATTTTTGTCAATGTTTGATTGAAGAGGCATAAATTTATGTTGAAGGAGACATCCTTATCACCTAGAACCACCTATAATCAAGCAAGACTTGTTGAACTTGAATATGCTTGGATCCGGCTTGGTTGTGACTACCTGAGTTTGGGCTTCAATTGAGGTGAAAGTATTATTTAAGCTCGGTTCAATAGAAACTTGTTAGCATTTGAGCCAAACTTGAGTTGAATTCAAATATATAATGTCATTAAAAATCCACAAAAAAATTAGATAAAAATTGAATTTATCAAAAATCTATCAAAAAAGAGGAGAGTTGTGCATATAGTATGGATATATACGTGATAAGTTTAGCATTGTTAGACATCTATAATATAAAATATGGTAAATTTTAATAAATCTAATTGACGATGTCAAATAGACTCATTCAACGGCCACCAACTTTCCTAAAAAAATCATTCACGTTGCATTGTACCTTTAAGCACGGATTATCCCTAACATTTCTATTAAATCAGAACTGAGCTGTTTACTTGAGTATAGTTACACATTCTTTATATTCAACACGATTATAAATCAGTTTAGAAATTCAAACAAATTCGATTAATTTAGCAATTTGAACGAGCCTAGACGAGAAAAAACTAAGTTGAGCTCGAGCTGTTTGGAATTGAATTGGGTTTGTAGGTTTCGGAGGAGCTTTACCTGACTAGTTAGTTGGTCAGCCATGAAAAAGTCCACCATCAAAACCTTATAAAATGGGGAGCAGATTATGTTACGTATTACTTTGATGAAACAATAGCGAGTTGAGCGATAGAAGATTTTCAATGGACATACGAGCAATGCTATGAAAACCTGCAAAATCACATGAAATATAATCAATCACATACCTTAATTTAATGCAAAACATTAACCTATGTACTTGTCTAAGATACTAAATTAATATTGCAATGACATCTAAATTCGAGGTTGTCAAAGATTTTGTTGATGCAAAATTTGATCAAGTGGAGATTCAAACGTTTTTTTTTTACTTACAAAATAGAAAAATGGGTCGGAGGTCCCACCGATAGGGTGTCTGTGTGTGCACCCTTTGATGCTCAATTGAGATGTAAGACTATTGACTTAGACATCGGAAGGATTCTAGTAATCTCTAATTGTAACAATGAAAGTACAAAGGCCTAAAGCTAACCAACCAGAAGTAAGATCCCCGGAATCGCATCGACTTGGCTAGGCGAATAGCCGCGGGAAAGTAAGATAAGGTGGATGACCATGGCTCCTACAACTGCAGTCATCAAGGAGGTGCAAATGAGGAAGGCATCTCTACACTTGAGGGCACTGTAGGGTTTGAATTCAAAGATGAAGTTGTAGTTGATCCTTGTGGTCTTCCACATGAACAGATTGCACCCATACATGAACAAGTGCAAGCTTAGCAATGCAAACATGCTGCAAGTTCAATCATTGCACAATGATAGTGAGTTAGCTGCAGTAATTTCAAAAAAATTTGGGTTTTTAACCAAAAATTTCTTTGACTTAAATAAGAATAAAGATCGGAGCCGAACTTATGATAAATGCTCATTAGTGTAATGGTCAATTCGACAGAATGAACGAAAAAATAGAAAGAAGAAAAGTGAAAAGGATACACTTTCTATTTTTAGAAAAAATAAGCGTTTCTTTTCTCTTTTGTGTTTGGTACGGGAGATGAGAAGTAAATGAGATAGATTTTTAAAATTTTGTATGAATGGAAACAGTGGAATGGAGGGGACATTTGAACATATGCATGTTTAGGCCAAGAGAATAATGTCTATATTAAGGATTATAAAGACAAAGAGCTGCATTTCAACCCACGTGATTTTCTTTCCTTCCTTTCTTTGCCTTTTTTTTTTGGAGATAAATTTTGATGTTTTGAATGGGAGACTAATTCCTTCATTTTTTCTTCTAACCAAACATAATGTTATATGCATCACTCTTATTTTCTATCCCTCTTGTTTTCCATTAAACCAAACAGACCATAAGAGACATTTTACGGGTTTGGGGTGCGAAAACTAAGTCCTTCAAATGAAGTATGACTACCTAGCACGTATTCCCACAGACCATGCTATAGCTAGACCATTGTGAATTCTACATAGACCAATAACTTCATCACTCTATCTTAGCTTGGGAAGTCCAAAAAAGTATATACTGTGGATCCATCAGTGAGGGGTTTAGAGATGTCCATTTGTGTTTGTCCAATTTTTTTTTTTATTTCAACGGTTAAGGGTGCTCAGGCAAGCTTTTGCGTATCTCGATTAATTCTTTCTTCGATCTGGTCAAAATCAGGTCATTCACACAATAACTAAGGTATTCATGAAGGATAAGTCTATCATGGATTGACTCTAACGAATTACTAAAATTTGAACTCAGAACTTTTAAATTTAAAATTCGTTGTTGTTCCTACTTTAATTACCATTTTAGTTATTTGTCTAAATTGTTTTGCCACACTTGAGTGAGCTTCACTATAAGAGGTGGCTGCTCTGATTTACTAGCCCCCAATTAAAGTCATACAACTCTCTCTCTCTCTCTCTCACACACACACACACACACAAAAGAATGAGGAGCAAAATGAGAAGACTGTAAAAAGTGGACCTGAAAACAGGATAGACGGTTTCCATGTAGGCTGATTCTGTTCTTGGGGAGAGCATGCCACTCAAGTGTGCCAAGATTGCGTATATACTAAACAGACTTACAAAGCAACCTGTAAACAATCCTGCAAGGAAAAAAAAGAAAGGAAGAATAAGTTCAATGAAGTTTCACACACATGCAAACCCATCGATGAATCCAGAAATTTAGTCTAAGAAGGTGAAAAATATATGGCTAGGAGGATTGTCTTTTAAATTTTTGAGAAAATCTAGGAAATATGAACCCACATAGTTTGTGAGTAAATATTGGGTGTACCGGTGACACCATGTATGTCATCAATGTCATATGGTATTACCAATCAATTATAAAACAATAAATAGGATTATTAATGAACCCCACTATTCTAACATAATAATTATTAGATAAAGCGGTTATTGATTGTTATTAAAACAATACAACCCACTAAGTCCACTTGGTATTCTATTACTGTGATATCACTGTTATATTCAATATTTTCTTATCTTGGACAGGTAATCATCTCCACTTACCCTGGGTATACCTGATAATTTTTAATACGACTCATTAATCTAAGGTATATAATATACGTTAAACTTTATACAATTGGAGTTATAATCAGATTGACCAGTTAGACCTATTTTACAAATGGGTCAAGATGAACTCGATTATTAAATCGGGCATGAGTTAAGCAACATTCTAAAATGACACGAAGTAAATAAATTTGAACCCACAATCCTAAAAGTTTATTGATATAACATTTTTTGGACTGTAAATTCTGTAAATATCTTTCACAGCAATGAAATTTAGCTATTCATGGCCCAACCATAGAGATGTGTGTAGGTCTATATATAGATAGGGTAAGAGAGAGAATACCAACAAAAAATGTGACCATGTGAGAATCTTTATGCTCTTGTGGTCTTAAGAACTTCATTGCCCTCTTCCTGTCATTGTTGGCGAAGTGCTTTGTGAATAATGACTCCACTTCGTCCATTAGTCTAACCACCTTAATCAAAGCACACATAATATTATGCTTCATCAGAATTTAAGAAGCTATAAACCTATTAATCTAACCTGGCTACACCAATAAAAGAATAAAAAAACAAAACAAGTATGGTAATCAAATCATTAGCCAACTTCAAAAAGGTCGGTTTTGATTCGCTAACATTGGGTATTTATACGAGAGTGAAACTGAGACGGGTTGAGCGGGCTATGGAGTCAACTTAGGTTTAAAAACCCCAGATATGAAACCTAACAAAAATCTATATAAACTTTCATTTTAATTAGCATTACATACATGTTGAGGTAGATTGGGAGAACTACAAGGAAGAACTTACCTTATCAGAACTAATGAAGTGTGATCTCTTTACCATTTTCAGGTAGCTTGATGATGTCTGCTGGTTCGATACCTGCTCAATCGAAAAATAGCAACCATTTACTGAATTAGATTATTCAGGGCCCTAGATATGTATGTATACATTTAGAACATTATATAATTTAAGTAAAGAAATTTCGAGAGAATGTCAAGTTAAGATTCATATTGTTCATACGTTATCCAAATGTTCTCTATGATGGAGATACACTTATCTATAATGAGTCATACTTGAATCTATGTTTAGTGATTTATTGTTGAAAGAAATTGAGGAAAAACATACGAGAGGAAATCCAAAGTCAGATCGTTTGGAATGTTTTCCTTTCTAAGGTGTTTTCTCACGGAAAATGTTGTAGTTAATTAGAAAAAAAGAAACGGAAACATAACCTAGGTGATCACATTGAAGAAGGCAGAGTTTTGCCAAATAAAAGAGATATGGCAGAACTCTCTATCTACCTAAAATGAACCTAATTGATGCTCAAGTATTTCTAAAATTTCCTTTTCTTTCTTCCTTATACGCTTCTTATAAATATGAAATCGATGTATTACCACCTTACCTTGTCGAATTTCTTAAGTATCTTCACAAAAGCCAGCATATTCAGTGAGCTGCCAAGAGAAGTAAATTGGTTAGAACACGTAAATTTAGATAAAAACACATGCATAGAAGCTAAAAAAATAGGTCTATAACCTAAAGAAAACAAACTGTTACGTTCAGGCAACTTTCACCAAGAAGGTGCTAGGTTAATACAACATAACTTCTTCTACCACCCATTAAATGACTTATTTTCGTAAACCTTCCCCTACGCGATTGCCATGCCATTTTCAGCATTCAGCTCATTTTTTCGGTTTTCCATAACCGAGGCTGGAAATGACATGGCAATCCCCGTAGCATAAGGTACGTGAAAATATAATTGTTTCTTGTAACTCGATCTGATTTTTTTTGATCTTAAAACTTGATCTACTTGGATCGCAGCTGTTGAATTAGTATTCAAAAAGTTGCACTATGAAAAACCAAATATATATATATACACACACACAATCTTCCTTCATGCATGCAACTGATTTTCTAAACAGAAGCTCAGGTGACGTAAAATGTCATGCAGCTCATGTGTTAAGAATGTTATGTCCTCAGTATTCGACGTGTTATCATTGAACGATGACACTTGTGCTTCATGTGATGCACACGTCTTGTGAAAAAGGAAAAAAAAAATTCAACTATGCTGTCATTGGTTAGATGAAGTTGATCGTATATAGACAGTTGAAGGACAAAATTACCAAAAATACCTTAAATAGTAAAGCGAAATAGGGTAAGACTTTATAGTCAAAAGTGTAACTAATCCCCTTGGGTGGGAGGGAGGAGAGAGTTTCTTTAGGTCTCCTTACAGTCGTACGTACTATCCATAAAACTCTACAGCAAAAAGTATACTTAATCTGTTGAAGGGGCAGAGGGAGATTCTTTAGGTTTGCTTGTTGTCTCAATATCCACCAAACTTCAGGGTAAAAAGTGTAATTAACCAATTTTAAGGGGTGGAGGAAATAAGGGTGTTAATTGAATTAAGCTTTATCCGTTTGAGACAAAGCCAGTCAACCTTTGACTAAAATATTGTTTGAACTCAATTTATTTCAAAAAAAATTCGAGTTTGGATGAAATTTGAATAGTTTAATTATTTTACATATAAATGAGTTGAATTTTTTTAAACAAGTCTAAAAAATTATTTAAATTCAACTTGTATGAAACATGAGTCGAATTCGAACCGAAACTTATGTCAATCGAACTCGAATAGCTTGCCTGAATTGACGCTTAAGAGAGAGTTTCTTCGAGTTTGCTTATTTTCTTTCTACTCTCATTCATGTCTCCACACACACGTGTGTGTATATATATATATATATATCTATATCATATGTGTAAATTAATAAGGCAAAAGAAGGATAGAAAACCTGTATGTTTTAAGTAGACCAAGGCCTCTGTAGAGCTCAACAAATGCTCCTCTGATCATCTTTTCAGCACATTGGATCTTCTTCCTGTTTATAGACTCTCCAGGGCCTTCTTTCTTGGGAGCATTCACCAAATCTTCCCAAAGCATTGATGTAACGGCCGATATTGTTCGTGTCGGCGTTGTCGCCGGAATGTCAATCCTCATGGCCAACTTAGGCTTACCCTTCTTTGTCTTTGATAATGTCGGCGAATTTATAAAATTTATACCATTCTTTTCCAGTGCTGCTATTACATTTTCCGTCTGTGAGTTTTCTGTGGGGCTTTCGCTATATTCAGTTGGTTCTGTATGAAAAAGAGGAGCATATTTAGAAGAAGAAGAAGGAAAAAAAAAAAAGAAGAAAAGTCATTGGGGTGCATTTGATATAAATCTAACTCTGGGGTTATTTGTGTAAAATGTGTACTTTCATATTCGAATCATATGTAACAATTCATAATTTAGAGACAGGGTTTTGACTAATATATAATAATAGAGTTTTAGGTCCATCAATCCTCCAATTAAATTACCAAACTGCCCACACCTTTCACAAAATCACAATAAAAGCACTCACAAATGAAGACACATATGTGTGTTGCTAACTCTTTCCCCAACAACAGAGCAACTAACCTGAGAAATCCGAGTTCCGGCCAGAAGATGAGAACGACGGAGAGAGAAATCCAGCACCGGACTTGGACGTCAAGCTTTTCCGGCGTCGATCACTTAGAACTTGCTTGAGGTCCAGCAGAATTTGTAGCTGCTTATTCAAATTCTCTCCTCTTTCAAGAAACTCTTTCTCTTTGGTCTTGTAAAACTGGTTCACTTTGTTAAGCTCCTCATCCAATCTCTCAAAGAACATTTTAGCCTAAACCCACAAAAAACCATGCAAATACCATAATGGGTCAGGGTGGGGTTTAAGGTTTTCAAATCTCAATTCATACGAATAATATTATTTAAATTTAAAAATCTAATATAATATTTTAATCTTTGACAATTGACATGATCGAATAACATTGTTCTCTTTGTAATTATTGCTCTATTTGTAATTATTGTAACATCAATAAATCACCAAATTAAGTCTTATATTTAGGGCCAAAAAGTATTGTCCATGCAAGATATATAGATAGGTGCAAGACGCTCACTAAGACGAACAGGTTGTGGTATTGCAGAACGGCATCAGATGATGCACACAGTGATATCTAATAGATAGATGAATAATCTAGGCAAAGTAAGAAATCGATTTAGTCTATATCGTGAAATTGCGGATCTGTATCGTGCAATATGTCATGGTTTAATGACGATGGCTTAAATAATTCGGCCGAGTTGTAGGAAACGAGTCCGAATTAACCATAATACAAAACGAGACTTGTGATTTATACTGAACGTAGTGGGGAAGAATTTGAACTATTGTTGGTGTGTATTTTGAAAATGTATTGGACATTTTTACCTCATCTTCTTGAGAGAACAACTGAACAAGCTCAGTTTCATAAACTTCATCCTTTTCTTCTTCAACTTTTCCTTCCTCTACGACTTTGCTCTTCACCTGCAACCAAATAAACAAAACCAACCGACAAGTAGTGTTAAAAATCTGCACTTTTTAGCGTCTCTTTCACTGATTTTCTTTTGTGGGTTGTTGAATTTATATCTACTGCTCACGATGGTTTCGTGATAAAAGTGACAAAAAACCGTTCCATTGCTTTCGGGTCAGGCTAACAAACACCAAACAGACAAAAGCTGTGTGAGATCAAAAGCACTAGAACTTGCCGGAATCTGAGGACATTCGGATCTCCGGCTGCCTGAAAATTTATAAAACAAAAAGGCCATGTTCTACAATTTTGGGAGCTTTAAATAACAGAATGTACACTCACAAAACAAATGAAAAATATATGGAAAAACATTTAATAAAAGAGAAGAAAAGACATTAAGTGGTAATAGGGACGAGATATAAATTAAGATGTCTTGGATTTGAATTTTGAAAATTTTTTTAAGTCAAGCTATAAGGATTTATTGCTTATGAATACTTTAATTTTGACATGAATAACTTGTCTTTGATCAAACCGGATAGAAAATTAGTTGAAGTGCACGTAAACAGACTTGTACAGTCCATTGATTAAAAAAAAAAAAGAACAGATGATACAACATATCAGTGCACATATTAATCATCTGGGTGTCGGATAGTTTGCACTTCTGCCTGAAAATGACGTCACCTTTGCTTTCTCGGTTAAATTTCAGCATAGAAAAAGTAATTTTTTTGCATTTCATTCAATTACGAGATTACATATATGAAATTTTTATTATTTTACTTTATTTCATTTTTTGAATCATCATTGATTATAAATAACTCAAATGAAAGATTCACGATAGATAATTAATTTTCAGTATCGTTTTTATTTTTTGTTTTGTAGCTGTGATTTCAATGAAAAATAAAGCAACCCATTAATAAATATTTGATATGTAATGTATATTGTAATGAGTACTATTAATAACACTACCTGAATGATCTCCGGTTTGTCTCCGGCAATGTGGAGGTGGTCGGAGATTTTCTTGGTGATTGATCGAATCGGGTCGAAAATGGAGCGACCAAAATCAGAGATGTGATCTTGAGTTTGTTTTGTTTTTCTTGAGAGTTTAACCTTCTTTACAAGTTTCTTCAGTTGCCAGTAATTCACAAAAGCGTCCTTCCATTCTGGGATGAGCTGAGCTTCAAGCTCTTTGGAGAACTTCACCATTGAATTAACAGGTAAAGCAGCAGAAGAAGAGAAGTTTTATGGAGAAGAGGAGAGAGAAAGAAAGACAGATAGAGAAGAGTTTAGAGGTATGAGAATGATCATGGATGTTATATATAGATTTTTGAGGTATGGAGATAGAAAGAGAGGGCATGTTTGGTTCAGTCATACATATTACAATGCAATCCACGTGGATTTTGAACCTTAGATTAGGAGATATGGTTTTTAAGCCTAAATTTTAATCTGGTGTTTGATTTGGCATTGGATTAAGTTGGTAGGGTCCATATTTTCAATCCAATGCATTGTTTATTTATTTTTCTTTAATTTGTGGGATCAATATAAGGTATTTTCAAAGATCAATTATACATCGGGCCCCCACATATCCCCTAATTTTGTTCCCTCCCCTAGGATAGACTTCTCCCATCCCATGCATGTGGAGAAAATATTCATTACAACAGCCAAACTACTATGTAATATTACCTTTCAATAAAAATTATAATAAGTGAATCTCATAAATTTTATTAACCACCCCTCCATATTATTTGGTAATCATCCTATGTAAAAAAATGAGGTGTGCTTTATCCATTTTATTGCATTTTTTGGATGATGACATTGATAACGCAATGTCATTGTTGTAATGAATATTTACTTAAGTAGACTCTCCGACAAAATCAATTCAATCTAATTTTTTTTATCCCTAAAATGAAACAAGTAATGTTATTGAAACTTAAAAAATTAATTTAATTTATTGACATAATGAGGTAGACCGAATTGTGACACAATAATTAGATTGTTGGGATCGATATCAGAGTTGTTCGGATTAGTCAAATGGATTGATTTTTTGGAACCACTTTCGCATCCAGGGATTTCGAAACATCCATATCTAGTCAAAAACGACGAGATAAATTCATTTCATTTAGAGCCCAAAAAACATGTTTTTACCATTTTTTGTAATTTTTCGTAGCTGAATAACTTCACTGTCAGTTCTGTCTTGTTTTGGGTGATTCATAATTTTTAGTCATATAATTAGTTTGAAACTTTTCTTTTTTGGCAAAATTTGTTATAATGTATAATTACGTAATTCACCACAATTAGGCCACTTTATTATTTCATAGTCAGTTTATGGTTTTTTTTTATAATATTAATATTCTTGTAAGCTTTAAGTCTTGGTAGCTTTTGATTATTGAATACAATTCTGATATTTTCTCTTTTTGTTGTAATTTTTTTGATATTTTTAAAAATTAATAGATTTATTAAAACCTTTAATACTAATGTTATTTGTGAATTAACAAGCTTAGAGTAGAATTCTAAATATGTATTTGTGCACAAATTAACTATTTTGTTTCATTATCTCTTTCTTGTTCTTCATACTTGTGTTTTACACGCTTCCTTACATCATATAATGATATTCCAAATGACAGAGTCTCAATGATAAAGTTCAAGAGTTACAGTCACAATAACATTGTTGGACCATGTCCGTAAGACTCCATACTATAATCAAATCAAAATAATATCATCTTAAAAGTTCTCTTAAGATAAATAAAATGATAGTAAAAACTTCAAATCATTATTGAATGATTGATTATGAAGTTAGAGTTTTGTGTATTGACTTTCAGGTCAAATTTATTCTCAGATGTGTTTGAGCTTGAGAAGTGTGTCTAGATAAGTTTTTAAATATTTTTAAGTCAAAAAAATGTTACCATTGAATCTAAAAAATAAAAAAACCTTGAGATAGATGATACGAGGTATAGTAGAAGTTTGGAGACATTATGGGTTTAAAACACATTTCTAGGAGAATTTGAGTAGGAAAAAATTTAACACCATCTTAGAGTTATTTCATTTTACCTTGGTGTTCAATTGAGTTGATTCTAATGGAATTAAAAAGTAGACTTCAAGAACTATGAAAGTATATTTCACGAACATTTTGGGAATCGGCCTCTAATTAGGTTAAAATCGAGTTGAAAGTTTGAGTCAAAAAGTCACCCGCGTCCAAACTGAGTGAGTGCGTTCAAACGCGCCTATGAAGTTTTAGGCAATGAGTTTGGATACTCCGAACACAAGATTATCGTCAAGACGTGCCTCCATCATCCTCTATCATTTTTGAGTGTATTCTTTGATTTTGGCTTTATAAATACCTTAGAGACATGTGTTATGGTTCCTGTACACGATTTCAACTCCAATAAGCCTAGGAGGGGAAACAAACTATATCTCGAAGGACTGATGTGTGAAAATTGCACAAAAACATGTTAGGATCAACTATCTGTTGAGTATGGTAGGATTTCTTTCTCAAATGTATATATGGTGTTTATGATAGATCATATATCTATATCTATACTACTAATAAAAGTATTTTAACATGAAAATTTTTGATTTACTGTTTTACCATCATAAAGAATTAAAAAAGGTCATTTTATTCTTCCATACTTAATATCTAAATTACTATCATATTCTTATGTATTTAAATCTTTAAATTACATCTAAGATTACTCTTAACTATCTATTATCTATTTATAAATGTAAATTTTTATGAAACTGTTTAATTGACTATATTATTTTTAAAAAAATATATACATTATTATAAGTTTTAACAAAATATTCAAAAAAACCTTTAAAAACTCCATCATCTAATATTACTTATTTCATCATTTACAAAGATAATATTATGATTATATATATATATATATATATATTATATATATTAAAATGTTTAACCCTTTCATTTTTAAGATAAAAAATAATGTATATATAGTTTTACATGATTCTTCAGTCATAGTAAACTTTTCAAACTATGTTAAGATTTATGTGAAAATAGATTGTAGTATACTTTTAAGAAAAACTTACATTTTTTTAAAAATTTTAATATGCTTTATTATATATATTATAGCATAATATATTAAATCCTAGGGAGAATTACACGCAGAAATTTATTACTTAATCACTTAGACCTTCTAATATTTAAAATATTACACACGATCCCTTAAGATTTATACGTTCATAACACTTAGATCTTTACTGTCAATGTCTGTTAGTATATCCGCTAATAACTTACACTCAGACCCCCCTGAAATATGTATACGTGTAATATTTAAATATTACACACGATTTACATAAAAAATTACACGTTCTTGATGAAAAACTCTAGACCTTAAGTATGGTCAAATTGGACATATCTTTTTATGATATCTTACATGTTTTGATTAGATTACTCTTCTATTTTGAGATATTGTGTTATGAATTTTGATTTTTCGAATGATTTTATCCCGCTATGAATTTTGTTGTTTAAACAATTGTAAACTTGAGATGGTTACAATGTCAAATATTTATTTCAAAAGTATATAAGTTTATTTTTAAAATTTGAGACCTACTTATTTTTACACAAATTTTGTAAATCTTGTTTAGATTTGAGAAAATTTTTCTACTAAACTTGTTTTTCTCACCCATTCCTTTAACATATTTTAGATTACGGTGTTGAGAGTGACATTGACATAAGTGAGCAGTCGGATTAGGCTGTGGATTCGGAAGTTGAGCCCTAGAGAGTGTATTTCTAGTTTCAAATTTTTGAACTTTGATGATTGAACTATGTTGTGAATGTTTCTTTAAATAGTTAGCTGAAAGATGATTATTTTGGTTTTAGATGTAAATTTAAGGATTTATCTCTATCTCTATTGAAATTTTTGTATTAGTCTTGATGATGAATGGTGATTAATTTGTTTAATTTATGATATTTAGTTATGCTCTCATGTGTTTGATAGCTATCCGTTAATTCATGCTCAATTGTGAATTTTAAGGTGTGATAATGTCACAGTCACATCTTTAGATCAACAAATTAAAATTAATTTCTTAAGTCCCAATAACATTGCTCAATCGAAACACAATATGAAAATTGAGTATCAAATGCCTCTTTAGCCAAAAAGGATAGTAATGTGGATTAGACAAAGACTTCATACACTTGGTTAAGTTTGGTAAAGAAAATCCTCAATATTCCAATTTGAAACTGGGGTTTTGCAAGACACAAACCAAACACAACTTGATTACTAAACTCGGGTTTAACCTTATGGTTATAACCAAATCTAATTTGAAAAATTGACGAACGATGCTTTATAATCCAAAATATTTTTAAATTCTCAATTTACGTACTAATAAATTAAAATTTTTATACTGCACCCTCAATCACATGAAAATCTAATAATGTGGTTGGTCTCTTTTGATTAAATAACACAAAATTTTCATATAAAATACTTAATGCTGAGTAATATATAAATAATTAAGTATAAAAATGAAAAAATATATACAAAGACTACAATAAGAAATTATCAAAAAAAAGCAACAAACTTGTGCACATTGCTACCATTTGATCTGATTGAGGGAATGATTTGAAAATTTTAATTCTTAGGGTGCAAATTAAAATTTTAAAAAATTATTTAGGATGCGAATTGTTATTCACCCATAGTTCTTTGGTGTAAAGTATATCATATGAGAGAACATTTGTAAATATTAAAGTTATAGGAACCAAATTTCTTGGATCCACTAATATGACATTATCATATTTGTTGAAATTTTGCTAGGGTCAACAATATTTATGAATCCAATAAGCTATATGGATTTGATATGAAAAAAATTGGGTGAACCTATCACTTCTTTATTTATTTATTATTATATTTTTTGGTTCAACGATTAGAGCTGTTCGGATCAATTTACGTACACCTCAACTAACATTTTCTTTGATTCGATCAAAAACAGGTTATCCATGATGGGACTAATAATTCACGAGGGATAAATTCCTCAGGACCTGACTCTAAAGAATTGTCTAAATTCAAACTCATTTCTTTATTTCTAATTAAAAAATTATTAGAACACATGTTTGTCCCACCAATACAGTAGTGTCCATGGGCTAACATGGAATTAGCCCACCTAGGTGAAGTAAATATGGAATGCAACGGTGGTGTCCCACCAATACAGTAGTGTCCATGGGCTAACATGGAATTAGCCCACCTAGGTGAAGT